GTCCCCAACCCTCGGGCCACAGAGCAGTACTGGTCTGTGGAAAAATTGTCTTCCATGAAACCAGTCCCTGGTACCAAAAAGTCTGGGAACTGCTGCTGTAAGCCAAAGTTCTGACAAATACAGATGCTTTTTGAGCATCTGCTACCTGAGGGGCAGATGCCCAGGGCTCTTCAGGATTTAAAGGTGAGCCAGACATGGCTCCTGAACTCAAGGAGCCCTCAACTTAGCAGAGATCATAAGATCAGTGCATAACTTATCTACATATCTACAAAAAAAGTTCTCATGTTGTCAGTCTGATCCACACATAAAGCACTTTGGCTAAAGAATCACAGTGAAGTGAGTGATAAATACCACCGTGGGAGTATTTGGAGCATTGAAGATGTGAAGGACATTATTTCCAGCAGAGGAAATGGCTGGGGCAAGGGTACAACCGTGAGAAAGTGCCACAAGCTCAACATGTATTTTCAAGTTCTGTAGGACATCCACAGTGACTGAGAGGTTGAGTTTAGGTGTAAAAGGAAGATTTCAGGGGCAAAAACCAAACAAGAGCTAGAAAAAAGTGTTGTTTGATGCAGATTGCGGAGGTTCTGATTGGCACTCTGAGTGATTTGATTGGCAGCAAGATCAGGGAACCCTGTGAGGAGGCCAATGCCATGGTCTGGTCAAACCTTAGTGCAGGACTGGAAAGGACTGGATGGAAAAAGAAGGCTGGAGGTGGGTGGAATCCCAGCCTCTGAGAACATTCTGCAGAGAAACTTTGGCCATATTTGCTCAAGAATCTTCCTCGTGGTATCATTTGAAAGCCATACTTTTTATTTCATGCTAAACATTGTCAGAGGGAGCAGTGGCAGATTCATCCCAGAATGTGAGCCAACGCACCGGGCATGCATTTTAATGGCATTCCAGACCTCGGGCTGGCAGCTCCCTCGGATCCTTGCCCTGCACTGGCTCGTGCCTTATCCCGAGTTAGGATGTCAGGAGAGAGCATCTATTTTCTTATCTTCCCCGCAGAGAAGGTGCAGGATGAGACATCAACCCTCTCTACTCCACCTTGTAGAGATGTCACTGCACTGGCTTCAGCCTTGTTGCTGTTCTGATGGCACCTTCTCTCCTCCTTTGTCCTCATGCCTGATTTTTGGGCACACCGTGTCAGCACTGCCATCGCGACACCCCAGTCTGAGTTACCGTTATCATGCACTTGGATTCTCACTTGGGAACTCCTAGCTGGTCTCCATGCTTCTGCTTTTGCCCCTGTATAGTCTGTCCTCAACAAAACAGCTCAAAGAAGACTTTAAAAACACACCCAGATCCTGTCTCCCTTTTTCTTAAAACTTTCTGATGGCTTCCTGTCCTATTCAGAGTGAAATCCTAAATGGCTATCATGGCCCATAAGATTCTATGTGATCTTGGCTGCCTTTTCGGCTTTATTTCTTCCAGTTCCCCCATCGCCTTGGGCCTTTCTGTTTGCTCTTCTCCCCATCTCTATGGGACCGCTCTCTCCTGACATCCTAACACTGTCTACCTTCCATCTGACCTGCTCTTCCCTCTGTTGCCATGCCCTTGACTGCCAGTCTGCTCTGGGCCACCCAATTCATATTGTTGCTTCTCAGAAATCATGAATGAGCCGTGGAATATCAATGGCTTGGCCTTAAGTTTACACTTCCTTAAGCAGGAAATAAATGCAAATGTCTTGAGAAGACAATCTAACTTGAAGAGTGGAAAAAAGGGTTGTTTTCCCATTTTGCCCTGTCACCCAGGCTGGAGTGCGGTGGCATGATCTCGTCTCACTGCAACCTCCACCTCCTGGGTTCAAAGGATTCTTGTGCCTCAGTCTCCCAAGTAGCTGGGACCACAGGTGCGCGCCACTATGCCTGGATAATTTTTGTATTTTTAGTAGAGACGAGGTTTTACCATGTTGGCGAGGCTGGTCTTGAACTCCTGACCTCAAGTGTCCACCTGCCTCCACCTCCCAAAGTGCTGGGATATTTTTTAAGCACAAAGTTGTCTTTAATAATTCATGAGAAAGGGAAAACTAGAAGGAAACTGGAAGCAGAGGACACAGAAAATTTGCTGTTAGCAGCACACATGGGCTGCATGACGACTCTTCATGAGCTCTGGGCACTTTTGCCTCTGTGGGCCTTTTCTCCATTAAAGTATACAACCTACAGGCAAGTACAATCTAGGCTGGGTTCATTATTATGGATGCAATATTGTTATATTATTTTTCTTTTGATTTTAAAAATATTTAAAACGTATTTGCTGTGTCTAATAGCATAGTCTCCCCTGAGCCCACCCCTTGCCCTTCTGACACTTTGGGTCACACTATTCCTCCTGCCTGGAGTATCTGTTGCCCATCCCAGCCTGAGTTGACCCAAACCACCTGACAGATTACTACTCACATGCAAGGTCCAGCTCCAATGTAACTTTCACCAAATTTAGCAAATTAAAATACAGCATGCCCACTGAGATCTGCACTTCAGGCAAATTAGAAATACATGTTGTTTGTGCTAACAAGCATGAGTATGTCCCACATGTTGCATGAGACATACTTGTACTAAGAAATTGTGCCGCTTACCTGAAATTCAGATTTAACTAGGCATCCTGTATTTTCTCTGGCAACCCTAATCTGTAGCTGTCTCTGATTCATTTTCCTTTCGGCTCTTCATCCCACCTGCAGCTCTCTCTGAGGCCTTCCAGCGCTCTCGCCACATGTCTCCCTCCACTTCTCACTTTTGGGATATCACAGACTCCTCCCTGCATCTGCAGTCCCACCTTCATCCCACTCAGTCACCACGGGCAGGGACATGGCAATGTATTACTTGCCTTATATGAGCTTGCCCTGTGTTTCCCCGACTGCCTATTTTCAGGGATGACTTGGCAGCATTTGGTTTTAATTTCAATCAGGATGTTGTGGGGCTGAGACTACAGATGAGTTAACTATTGTATGAGATTCCAGCAGAGCTTCTGTTAACACATGTAAGCCCCAAGAAGACACTTGGGGCTCAGACACTTCATTACCTGACGGAAAAAATCCAGAGGCCCTGGGCTGAAACCCACGCCCCCTCCCTGGGTGGACTATGAATGGAGGCATCAGGCTTCCACCTCCCCAGGATTCTGGTGTCAGATAGTAAATCGGCCGTGGCCCAAGTAGGACCTTGTGTTTGAAGGGAGGGTCTTTGTTTTTGAGACATAGGTTCAGGAAATTCTGATTTTCCACCTCTATCTCAGGAGTGGATTGATTCTTTTGAAAGTTCACTTTAACCTACTTCACATCACACTATCGCCCAGAGCAGAAAGCTGGCCTGAGATGATCTTGTGGGCACAAGCCACATAAGGCGTTCAGAGCCAGTATCCAGGCTCGTCCCCCGGTGCTCTTCCACCCTTCTCCCCAGTGCAGATTTCAGAGCTGGAGGCCAGCAAGCACGGCCTTCCCCTGGGGATCGCAGTGAGGGGTGGCGTGCACTAAGGGCTGCAGGTTACCAAAACACCAGCCCAAGAAGGACGGGGGGAGCACAGTGCAGGCGCCCCCAGGCTGCTGAGGACTTCACAGCTCTCAGCATATTCTCCTTTTCTTGGCTGAAGGATGTTTCTAAAGTTGACCACTGATTAATCATTTTGTTATTCATTCTCAGCAAGAAACCAGTGTTCAAATTCCACGTGTGTGTGTGTGTGTGTGTGTGTGTGTGTGTGTGTGTGTAGGGGGGGTGTCCTCTGTGTGGGTGTTTGGAGAGGGGTGTCCTCCCAGTGGGGAGCTGCATAGTGGTTTCTGCCTCTTACTAATCTCTAGTCCAGCTCATAACTCACCCTGAAGCTCACAGGAACAGGCAAGATGGCCCAAAATAGTTCCCAGGGTGGTCACCAGGTGTGATGAGAAAGAAGAAAAAACAATGAGCCGTTTCATGGTCACAGCTACATGGGGAATTCTGTGCTTGGCACCCCTCCTGGACTGCGAAGCCATTCATTGGCCTAACAAAGGCTCTGATAAGTTCTACAATTATATTTTAAACTTTAGAACCTAGGTTGATGTTATTTAACTCAATATTTTCCAAAGTTATTTGATCAGAGAACCATCCTGTCCTCCTCCTCATTTTTTAAATTTGAGGAGCATCTTACCAGGTAAGCAATCCCGGCCACACTTTGGGAAAATGGCTCTAAAAAGGGAGGTAAGCACGAGTTTTACCATCTTGTGTTCCCACTTCAAGTCACTAACTTTGGATGGGAATTTTGGCTTGGAGAAAACATAGCTGGCCTCAGCACTGCCCTCGAGCCTCTTCCAGCCAGTCCTGGCAGAAGGACTCTGAATGCCTGAGCCCACAAGTTGGTACCTGTGACTCTACAAAGTCTGGGACAGCGTGCATTGGGAAGAGAGAGCATTTCAGGCAAAGGCTAGTGCCTAGTGCCACAAAAATGCTGTCCATGGGGCAGCCCAGGCCATGCAGAAGAGCCACAGAGCCCCATGCAAGGCCACCTTTTGGTAGTCACAAGGCAGTCTGCGACGTGACTCAGAGTTTCATACAAGCTGCTTCCTCTGCCTGGATGCTCCTGATCTGTTGGCACTGTTTCTTAACTTCGGTCTTAACGTCATTTCTAATTAAAGAAGCTCCCCTATTAGTGTCTATATCATAGGATCCTGTTTGCATTCTTTTAGCATTTCTCAACACATGGATCACTACATATTTTATTTTTTTGACTGTTGTGTCTCCCTGCAAATAAAATAACTCCAGGAAGGCAGAGGTTTTTGCTTTGGTCACCATTAGAGCCCTGGTACCAGGAAGAGTGCTGGCACAGTGCAGGCACACCATGAAAGTTTGTTGAATGAATAAATGAAGAACGATTTTCCAAGTTTTTTCCCTCCTGAGTGGTGATTGGTTGCTGGGAGTTGATGGGCAAGGCCACGGACCGTCCAGTGGGCTGTGTGGTAAGGAGGGGATGATTCCTAATAAATGCTTGCAGATGGCTGCCTGGCCCAGTGCATGCGAGGAAGTACAGAAATACAGAAAGCAATAGAAATGGGTTTTTATTTGTAAAAAGTTACAAAATGATATTGTACAAAAATAAAGTCTGTAGAGAACTTTGGTTGTATAACATAAACGACCAAGACAGATCAGAGAAGTCAGAACTTCCAAACAAGTGCACTCCTTACTGTATCAGATGGTGATCACAATGATCAAGAAAAATCACAAACTTTACCCTTTTGTGGATTTGGTGGAGCAATTTGCTTCCATTAAAACCTGCTTGTGGTGTGCAGGTGATGCCAGGAACGAGCTGTCAACACCCATTGGATCCTACAGCATTTTTGGGCAGGGACTTTCCATGGGGAGCTGGGGTGGGGGTCACTGAGGTTGAAACCTGGGAACAGCGGCCACTGCACCTGCCAGGGATCCCGGAAAGGGACAGATGTCCCCAGGGCCACATCCGAATTGCACTCCATGAGTGCCTGGATGGCTGGGGTTTGTCACTGTTTCGAGCAGTCTGACTTTCAGCAAGATCCCAAGGGAGGGTGAGAGGGAAGGCCTTTCCTCCATGTCCCAGGAGGGCAAGGGGAGCAGAAAGGACAGAAAAGGGCAGAACCATGAAGAATTTGGGCATTTGGGGGGGAGTGGATGGGATGTCTGGTAACTGCTGCTTCTTGTTACTTTGTAAAATTAAGCTGATTACTTGATGGAGGACAGTAGCTTATTTAATTGCTAAATCTGTCATAGTTTTGTGGCTAATAGCCACTAAGGTAGTGACAGATCATCTCCCTGATGAAAATCTCTTTTATGAAATGTCTAACAAGCTCTAATACAGGGCCTAGTGTGTCGGCTGCAAATTCACAATCGAGGGCACAGAGGAGGTGGCTGTTCCCACCCCATGCTTCCTCCCCTTCTAACCTCTTTTTCTTCCTTTCTTCCTTTTTTTTTTTTTTGAGACAGGGTACCAAGCTGTCACTCAGGCTGGAGTGTAGTGGCATGATCACAGCTCACTGCAGCCTTGATCTCCTAGACACAAGTGATCTTCCTTCTTCAGAATCCTGAGTAGCTGGGACCACAGGTGTGCACCAGCATGCCTGGCTTTTAAAATTTTTTGTAGAGACAGGTTCTCCCTATGTTGCCCAAGCTGGTCTCAAATTCCTGGGTTCAAGAGATCCTCCCACCTTGGCTTTCCACAGTGTTGGGATTATGGGTGTGAGCCACCATACTGGCCCTAACCTCTTTCATTTAAAGGCAGCACACTCCTAAGTATGAGGCTCCATGTGTGTGGAGCCAGCCTATGGCTGGCCCAGACATGGCTTCCTCAGCACCCTTCTCAGCCATCTGCTCCCCAGTGAGCTGTCAGGTGCTTGGGTATATAGGAGCAGCAACTGTTGACCCTCAATGACAGCCCAGGGGTTGTATAGGACCTGGCAGACCCTATCTGTGGAGGGCCCCTGTGTCTCCCAGGCTGCACTGGGCAGCCGGCGTATTCTCAGGAAGGTGGTGGGTGGGCAGGAATGGAGGGAGTTGGTAAAGTGGTAGCTACTTGACAGCACTGTTGACGTGACTTTTAGGTCAGCATGAAATCAAGGACTACCTACTAAAGGGAATTGAACCTTTTCTACATATGGTTATGCATAGTATAGATAGATGTACGTGGAGGGGACCAAGAGCTTAAATACAACAGGAGTGGAGCCCACGACATTTCTGTTCAGCGATGGAACAAGGAAGAAATAAAGCCAAGTGCCGTCGGTCTCTGCACGCTGCTCCAGGAAAGGGGGCCTGCCCAAGATGCTCCACAAATAAAAATTGGGAAAAATGCTGAAATCTGGGGGGAAATTCATAAGAAATTTTCCTGAAAAGGTAAAGTAAGTGATTTTTAACTAGCAAAAAACTTTTTAATACTTTGAAAAGCATGGACCCTTGTTCCCAATTAAAATTTCCTTTTGTCACCTTTCTTTGCATTTTGCGAGCACATATACTTTGGCACCTTTGAAAAGAAACTTTAATAAATAAGGGAAAAAAGAGAAACTCATTAGTGAACGATAATAAATAACAATAACTTAAATCTCAATAAATATCTTCTCTACGTTTCTGTATCTGAAACAGATGCATTGCATCGAGTAGCTTCTCCGGTCACTGGTGACCACACATCAGCGGGGCTGGGTATGTACCGTCTGTCTCTCTGTAAACCAACAGGCCAGGTGGGCTCTCCCTACCAGGGGGCAGCTGGGGGCCTTCCCCACTTCTCTGCTACAAGAATGCTGCTGAAAACCACAACTCATTTCCTGTTTCTAAGGACATAAAGGAAACACCTTCAGGTTTGTGTTTAATCACGAGCACAGCCTTTGTGATTCCTAGCCAACTTCTTCCCACCCCACACGCCGTGATGGAAATCAATCACCAACCGTTGGCAAAAATGCTGGTTGTAGTAAACCTCAGGCCTCGACTTTCAAATGCAAAGGTAATTCTCTCTTGTATCTTTGCTTTTTTTTTCCCTCTCCTTTCCAGGGTATGTCTCCACTGAGTGACAGAAAAATAAGCCTCTCTTAATTTCAGCAGTAAAACGTAATGACAAGGCGTGACACCAGGATTCCTGTTCCCCTGGTGTCTTCGAACACATGGAAACAAACCACAGGAGATACACTGGTTTGGTTCTTCAAGTGCACCCGCGACCACACCGGTGATCGGTTGATGGTGGACTGTATCAGCTGAAACGGTGGTAACATCCAACCAGGAACATCAGCCCTGAGCTTCTAGTGACATTGGCTGCCATCCTGGAGAATCCAGAGGGCTGTTTTCTCTCTCTCCTGTCCAGTTGTCTGTAGCTGGATTTCCCTCTACCAGGCTCCCATGATGGCTGCCTTCCTCCTCCTCCTTCTCTTCCTCTTCTTCCTCCTCCTCTGCCTCCTTGGTCCTCATCTTCCATTCTGGGCAAACATTTCCTGGGAACCTTGGTCCCTTTCTTTGCACTGTAGCAGGAATGCAATACACAGCAGTCTCTGGAGCCGGAGTCAGATACATCCACACCTTTTAGCGGAATGCTTTCTTAGAATATGGTAAACCAGGTTATCATCTAAAAATGACAGGTCATCGTCAAAGGCGATGGGTCTGCAACATGCCTTCCCTACTTTGTTACTCACCAGCTTTTTATTTCTGGATAAGTTTTTTAATATTTTGTCGTACGTTGTCTCAGCTGCATCGCAGGAGCCGCTGCAGTACCTAAAAATCAGTGCCTCCTTGGTTTCGTAGCCCAAACCCAAGTCAGTGACATTTAAATGTATTGCAGTTAAGACACAACCCCGGTTTTTGCCCCTGTGGCCTTTCTGACCTTTTCCTCTGGAACTTTCCGGGTTGGCAGCTGCAGCTTCCCGATGTCGCTCTCTTCTAGAAAGCTCTGCCATTTGTTTATCTGGTGACCTTTTCAGTCTTTTAATGGTGGCTTGAATAAAATCCATGACATCATTGAACTGATCAGGATAATCCTCTGGCATATTTGCTGTCCAACAAGAAAAAAAAATGGTACATGAGACAAAATGATCATTTCAAGTCGTCTTCAAGATCAAAGTGCCCCACTAAAGTCAGCAAAGATTGGACCCACAGCAAAACTATCAGCCAGTTAACCTATGGGAACACTGTAATCCCCAAGAACAGAGGCAAAAATGATTTAGCTGGAAGAGGAGACTAATGTGGTGATGGCATACTTCCTCAAAGAAAACAAATCCTTAGAAGTGTAGTTTTCATTTGAATAATATCCACTGTTTTTAACAAGTTCATACAGAGCTCGCCGTGAGCTGGCCAGTCTTCTAGGGCAATTTTTCTTTCCCAGTCACACAACCTAGATTCGTGGTTCTCAGACGTGAGTGTGCAGGAAAATACCCTGGATATTGACTGTAATGCAGATTCTTGGCCCTACCTTTGGAGATGATGAGTCATTTGGTTTGGGCAGAGGCCAGGGAATCTGCATTTCTAACAAGCCCCAAGGAATTCTAATGTCAAAGATCCTCACACCAAACTTTGAGAGACACCGTCTTAGAGGGTGAAAAAAGTGAGATCTTCTAATATGGCTACTTTCATTTGGAATACTGAGTACTCTTCCCTGAAACTTGCTTTGATCCTGGGTGGCTGAGTGGGACAAGAACCATTCTGACAGAAGAAAAGAAGAGCTCAGGAATGAACTACAGTTTAAAACTTCCTTAAAAATCATTAAGGAACAGGAAAACGGTTTGTATTTTACTAACAAAGAGACCAATTTACCGCTTCCTTTGAAAAGCATGACTTAAAAAAAAAGCCCCAAAGCCCAGTGATAGAGTACAGTGGCATTTGTGCATCAGAGCAATAAATGAAATGAGATGCTGTTCGTGGACAGAGCAGCCCTGCCCCCAGGGGTGAGGTCCAGCCTCTGCTGCAGGCTGTCACTGGGCTCCCACTGTCTCTGGCTGCAAGCAGGACAAGAGGCTCATTAGGGAGCTCACATGGAGAAAGGACGAGGGGACAGTGAGATGTCTGAGACCTTTGGTAAAAGTATGAATCAGCAGTCTTTTGGTGCTTTCTGCCTGATTTCAGCATTTGTTTTGGTAGATCAAGTAAGAAGAGAAAAGTAACTAATGGAACAATGTCATAAATTTCTAAATGGGTGGGGGAAAACAATTCAAACACCCATTTCTTAGGTATTAGGCCTTTTATGCCCCCCTCACCTCATTTTTCAGGTCATTTATGTTTAGGATTGTAAGTGGCTTAGAGAAATATACTACAGAAGAGTTGTCAGCAAGAGTAAATGTTTTTTGCCAATATTGTGTTAAAGCATAAAAAGGTTACATTATGTCTAACCCATGCTAAATTGTTTTGTCATAAACCTAACCTATTTAATTGTTAAAATATATCAGGTATCCCTTCCTATAGAACAAAATCTAGCAAAGGCAACTTAACCACGTGTGTGTGTGTGTGTGTGCGCGTGTGTGTGCATGTGTGTGTAATATAGAAAACATACGATGTATAATAATGAAGACTGGTGATTGGAATCCCTAGAAAACCTAGTTGCTATCTGAAATTTAGCATTGGCTGGACCAGCTGTACGGAAGTCACGAAGCTGTTTCCACACTGGCTGAAGCCCTGTCACCTCTTGCCGGGGTAACAGCAGTGGCCCCGGAACTGGGCTCCTTCATTCTACCCTTACCCACCTTTGATCTGTTTTCCACCCAGCACACAGAGGAATACTTTAAATGCAGATCATAGTCCCCTTGCTCAAAGCTCAAAACCTTCCGGTGGCTCCCCATTACTCTTGAAGGAAAAGCCCAAATCCACACTGGCCTTAAAGTCCCGGCCTGACCTGGCCACCCCTCTCCTCCAGCCTTTATTACCTCAAACCTCCTCTCCTGTTTCTCCTCTTATTCCCTCTCCTCTAGCTACCCTGGCTTCCTTACCGTTCCTCAAACACGGGGCTCAGTGTCAGCACCACTGACCTTTTGGGCTGGGTCATTCTTCATCGTGGGAGGCTGTCCCGTGCACTGTAGGATGTTTGGCAGCATCTCCACCCAGGAGAGGCCTGACACGGTTTTGCTGCGTCCCCACCCAAATCTCATCTTGAATTGTAGCTCCCATTACCCCTACATGTCATGAGAGGGTAATTGAATCATGGGGTCAGGTTTTTCCTGTGCTGTTCTGTGATAGTGAATAAGTCTCATGAGATCAGATGGTTTTATAAAGGACAGTTCCACTTCCTGCCCATGCCCTCTTGTCTGCAGCCAAGTAAGACGTGACTTTGCTTCTCCTTTGCCTTCTGCATGATTGTGAGGCCTCCCCAGCCATGTGGAACTGTAAGTCCATTAAGCCTCTTTCCTTTATAAATTACCCAGTATCAGATATTTCTTCAAAGCAGTAAGAAAATGGACTAATACAAGGCCCGTAGCATCCTTATCCTAGTCATTACAGATCAAGGTGTCTCTGGATATTGCAAATGTCCCCTCGGGGCGCACCATCTCTTGAGAGCTACAGCTCTAACAGTCAGGAACTCAGGGCGTTTGTGCTGTCTGCCCCTCTCCTCCTGAATGCTGCTCCTCTGGAGAATCCTGTGACCACTCCCACATCTCCTTCAAGTCTTTGCTCAAATGTCACTGTCCACAAGTCCCACCCTGACTTCCCTGTTTAAAACAAGATCCTTTCCCAACCCCTAATCCAGATACCTCTGCCCTGTTCCTCCTGCTGCATCATAATTCTTGCTACATTCGAACATACCATCTAACTGATTTCTTAGGCTTGTTATTTACAGTCTGTCTTTCCAAAAGAATGTCAACTCCAAGAGGCAGGAACTCTGTCTGTCCAGCTTGTTCACTGATGGATCTCCAAGTGCTTGAATAGGACCTCGAGGTAACTGCTGGCTGAATGAGTCAGGTTATTTTACTAGAGGGAAAGAAAGTTCTTAATTTTTCAAGGGGACACTGGGACTCTAGCTGAGAACTGCATTGTTAATAAATAAAATGCTCCAAAATAAACAGCCCACATCATTCAGGAAAGCTACTCTGCTCTGAGTGGCACAGTCACTGCCCACCAGAGAGCTGAAGAACTGTCTCCAAATCGCCTTTCCTCCTCAGCTTTCTGCAGCTTCACAGTAGTAGTAACTCTCAGTGCCTACCTCCCCTGGGTCTCCCAAAGAGCCCTGTTCCCTGAGTAATACTTTCTTAAGGGAGCCCGAGAGAGTGCTTTTTTTTTTTTTTTTTTTTTTTTTTAAGACGGAGTCTTGCTCTGTCACCCAGGCTGGAGTGCAGTGGTGTGATTTCAGCTCACTGCAACCTCTACCTCCCGGGTTCAAGCAATTCTCCTGCCTCAGACTCCTGAGTAGGTGGAATTACAGGCACCTTCCACCACACCCAGCTAATTTTTGTGTTTTTAGTAGAGATAGTGTTTCACCTTGTTGGCCAGGCTGGTCTCAAACTCTTGACCTCAGGTGATCCATCCACCTCGGTCTCCCAAAGTGCTGGGATTACAGGCGTGAGCCACCACGCTCGGCCAAAAGTACTTTTAATTTGTCCTTTCCTTTGGACTGCTTTCTCACTGGACTTCCTTTAGAAGTTTTCTTTCAAAACAAAACAAAACAAAACAACAACTTTAAATCACTTTGACAGAAACTAATGACTTGTTTTTAAAACAATGAGCTGCTTTTGCTACTGGCGATTTCTTTCAATAATAAGCTACTAAAAAGGAAATAAATACAGATGTGCCCAGTTTCAAAAAAAATGCTTGTATAGAAATCGGAACTTATAAGATAGATATACTAGAAGTGATCAATCCTGGGCATGTGGCTAATGATTAATATAGGAGTGATTAATCCTAATATATCTATCTATACAGAAGGGTCTTCAAATTTAAAAAAAAGAGACTCTGTTTTACAAAAGGACTCACATCATGGGCTCTATTCAATAATTTTAAGTAGGCCATTAATTTAGGAACCTGGGCATATAGAAAGTTAAGATCGATTAACAATCAACTGAAGATCGATCAGAAATGAGGGTAAAAAAATTACTAAAATTTTTATATAAGCTAACGAGAAAACATTAGAGTCACAGAAGTTCAAATTATACAGGCTTAGAGACTCATTAATCTATATGTTACATAATTTCATATTACTAGAGTAATAATAAGAATTTGAATCAGCTCTTATAGTTCATTTTTAGCCCTCAATACTTGAAAGATCTTGAAAAACATTTTTCCTCCCTTTTTAAGACATTTTGACTGCATGGCTTGGTCACATGCTTTGTTTGCCAGGTAAAATACAGACAACCTGGTTATATTTGAATTTCAGGTAGATAGTGAATGCACATCATAGCAAATTTGTCCAAACCCATGGCACGTATAGCACCAAGTGTGAACCCCAATGTCAACTATGGACTTTCAGTGATAATGATATGTCAATGTAGGTTCATCAATCATAATAAATGTACCATTCTGGTGGGAGATGTTGACAGTGGAGGAGGTGATACATGTATAGGGGTAGGGAATATATGGGAACTCTGCCTTCCTCTCAATTTTACCGTCAACCTAAAACTGCTGTAAAAAATAAAGTCTATCTTTTGTTCTTAAAAAAAGGCTTTCTGGCATGTGGCTAATGAAAACTCCTTCCTTTGATGGAAAATCTCCTTCACACCTTGTTGCTAAGGTGGAAATATTTAAGCCTCAAATTCAGGCCATAGGCAACTCTTATTAAGCTCAAGGTTTTTGTTCCCTTTCATATTCATGAAAATAGAACAAATGACAAATATTTTTGCTGAAAAATGTACATGGATATGAATTCTGAAAGCCAGGAAAGGGCATTGTATTTTTCAAACCACAGGGCAAATAGGCCTGCCTCTTTTAATTAAATGAGTTAATTCTTAGAGCCAGCCTCAATTTATAGATGTGAGGCACTTAGGGGCATTAGGAGCCATATTCCTCTGCAGAGGGTGCTAGGCAACCTCACTGAGCCTGTCCTTAAATATTCTGCAGAGGCCTCTCACCCAGCCCAGG